TTGACCAATTTGCTCTCTGTGAAAGCCTGAGAGAATGTTTTCTCTCCATGAGACTCTCCTTAGGCACACTGTACATCATCGATCACATTCCTCTGTGGCTCCACAATCTCCTCAATCAGAAAATTTTGGGGCACAACTGGGTTACATGATATTACAGTACAGGTTCTCCACTGTCCTGAGTCTTCACTGACCTTGAAAGGCTAGGGCCAAAATGTTGGCTGACCTTGCAGTCTTTCCTTTTCTCCAATTTTTGATCTGCAAACTTAGGTTGCTAACCTTCCAGAAGAGAAGCTTATTATTACTCTGCAACGTACAGAGTTCGGTTTACCCTAACTATCTGTTTAAATACCAAACATCTTAGGCATAACATGGAACAGGTATTTTCCATCAAGTATTGATACATTAAACTTTAAGTCCCTACAGAATATGAAGAAAAAATAATTTTAAAAAAAATAAGAATAAACACTTACATATTTGAGTGCTTTGAGTTATTACAATCTTCAGTGTCAGCCCAAAGGATTCTGAGAAATCATGTAAGATAGAGCTTTAGTCTGTTTGGAGAAGGGGGATGCATTGGACGTTCTCCTAATTGGCAACCACAGTATACCTAGTAGATTTTTTCACAAAATAAACCTTTGTGATTTTCATGCTGGAAAACAGTATTTTGTAAAAACCCCAACTTAATGAGATTTCTCTATATCATACCAGATAATTGTATAATCCATCTCTCTGCTGGCTTTAGTAACTGCTCCTCCTTCCACACACACCTTTTTTGTCCCCTTTTTTAACTTTAAAAGAACATGAAAAACCAGCATCACTGGGTATGTAAACACTCAGCTGCATTTCAGTTTATGCTTCAATTTCTCATGAAGTTCACTTTGTAACTGAAGGCACTTGCGTGCACAACTTGCATCTGAACACTTGAGGAAATGATCAATAACTGCTCAGTGCCAGACACGGCAGACCCCAAGCAGCCCGAGTGGCCGAGGACTTCCAGCTCATCCACTCGCTTCCTCTCGCATCCCTTCACAGCTTCATGGTAAAGGTTGGCAGGAAGCTCAGGCTGCGCCTGCATGGCCACCTCTCCATTATCTTGTATCACTTGGAACTGGTCTAAGTTTATTTACTATGCAGTAGACAGTCATCCTGTACATACTCAGCTAGTTTTGGTTTAATGTGCCCCTGCTGTGTCTTTCTGTTACACATACAGTTGTTTTTTTATTTATGTACAATATATGCTGTGCCATTTTGATTTTTATTGTGTTTGATTAGTTGAATAAATTTGCAACACTCAAACACTTCACGTGGGGCTGGGAAGATAGCTCAGCAGTCTAAGTGCCTGCCTGGCAAGCGCAAGGACCCAGGTTTGATCTCCGGAACCCCAGGCCATGCCAGTTCCACAGTGAGCCTGCCATTGAAACCAGGCATGGTGGTGCATACCTATAATCTCAGCACTGGGGAGGCTGCGCCAGAAGGATCACCACAAATCGGAGCTGTGTACCGAACTTCTATACCAAATACATAAATTAAAAAAAAAAAACAAAAAAAACCCCGAGGTAATAGTTAAAAAAAAAATCAATATTTCATCCAGTTTCACCTCAAATGTGTTATGCCTGAACATTTTAGATGTTTATCACAGGTCTTTTATGAGGTAGAAAGTAAATGTATGAAGTAATAAATGTGTGGCATTTACAAGTAATGTTAGCTTAGAACAAACTTTTGAAAATTTAGTTGATGATATGTAGATCAACTGGGGAAAAAAGCATGACTTGAAATCTCTGAAAGTCTTGGTTCTCAGTATTATCATTCTTTCCTGAATTTATTTATTAAACTATGCAGTCTTTTGTTTTGATTTTTTCAGTACTGGGGATCAAACTTGGGACTTTGTGCTTGCCAGGTAGGCACTTATGTCGCTGAGGTACATCCCTGGCCCTCAAGTGTGTAGTTTTTAAAAATATTTTTGATAGTATTATGTAATTTTTTAGTGTAGGTATGTGGGAGTATCACTTGTATGTTATCATACAGCTGACATGTATTTTTTGTTTATTCTTTGTTACCTTAATAGTTTCATACTATGTAGATAGCATAACCAACCTATGAGAAACATGTAAGATAATGTATTTATGGCCACTATCACAAGTTTATAATTTACCTTGTTTAACATGTATGTTATATAACACTTAAAAAGAATTTTTTTCTTGACTGAGAAGAGGATACAAAATGCAAAATCCACAATTTTGATCACTGAAAATTGCCAGTTGTTTTGCAGTACTCTGTTATACCTGGTGTCTTGTCTTTTTTGCACTTTTAGTTAGTGAATGAATACTTTAGACACTTCTGGGTTTTAGTTGGGGTTTGACACAGCTAGCAATTTAATTCTTTGGTTCTTTGCTGTTTCTATTAACCCATGCCATTACCTTAATTAATTTTATAATATCAACCTAAAATAAATAAATTTTTAAAAAAATCTGCAACAGGGTCTTGCTACATTGCCCAGGGTAGGCTCCAACTTACAATCCATCTGCCTCAGCCTTCCACAGTGTTGGGCTTACAAGTATGTGCCATTACACCCGGCCATATTTAGTTTACACACTCATACTGACATAGGGAAGCAGCACAGCAATAGTAACATACATTGTACATAATTGGTATGTAGAGAAAAAAAGATCCTATGAGTTTCAACATTTAACAATTTAAAAATCCTCATCCACATGACAAATATACGTGACACACACAACCTGACCTCCTCTCTTACCTCGGCATAGGCTTTGGCCCACGTACTTGCCAGCTGATGTAAATCTACTTCACCCGATTTCACAGCTTCCAAGGCTGCTTCAGCATCTCCATCATAATCTTGGAGGGATTCTTCTTCTATAAATTGGCTCAGAGATGCTTTTAGGTCTGTAACAGGGACAATGAATGACATTATTAATACAACCTAGATGTAAAAAGAAGGTATTTTACCTGGCTCAGGCATTCCAGTGTGAAGCTAATTCCCCTCAGAGAATCTTCAATTAAAGTAAAATCAACATAGAACATTTAGCTAATTTCATAATTATTATTTTTAGTATAGTTATTACATAGAAAATATCAAAATCCTTAGCTGTGACATATGGACCTAAAGAAACACCTGTGGATTTTAAGAGTCTGAAGGTTACTGTTCATAAGTGAAAAACTTTAAAGCCTATAATCACATCTTTTAAATTTGAAAGAGAAATGGATGATACTGAAATTGATTTAGAATATTTGTAATTTGGTTTTAGATTCTATTCAGGGACTGACACAGTGGAGGACGCACCAGGTAAGGAATCAGGACACCTACAGTAGGCTCTGGCTTCGCTGTCACAGTTTGTGACTTTAGACCAGTGGCTCACAATCTCCAGTGTGCACCAGTTCCTTGATGACAGGCTTGCTGTAGCACCACCCTAGGGTGCCTAACTTGGAGGAACGAGTGGGAGCAGATGCCTCATCTCTAATAATCCCTAGCTGACACCTGGGCACTGGTGAAGGACCACGATTTTAAGCATTGCCACCTTTGGCAAATAACTGACCTCTTCATGTCAGGTTTGCTTGTTAATGTGATGTGACTGTGCTAGGAAATTCTTGTGCTGAGAATTCCAAACTTCCATGATGGACATTTTTTTTCAGTTAAAATTGTTTTCCCAGTCTTTGAGATAGAATATAGACCTTTTAGAATAGCTTACTACAAACCACTTTGTGGAACTAATTAAGGTAGACAAAGATTGTTGAAAGATTAGTACTCCTACCTCAAAATTGAAAACTGGATCATTAAAAGGGTAACCAATTCAGCAATATAATTCTATGATACTATAATTAGTGATACCTGAAATGTCTATGATCTGTCTAACTTGGTTCAGAGGTTAAGAGCTTTCTTTTACATAATGCAACGAAGTTTTCACTATATATTTTAATTTTTATACTAAATTGCTTATAAACAAATATAAGGATTATAGGAAATTACTAACAATGTTCTGGAGTGTAGCAGTGGTTTTGTTTTACTTGTAGGAGTGGTTATGTTTTATTTATTTCGTTTCCAATGTCTTTCAGATTTTATGCTTTGTAACAGAAAACTTTTGATGGCAACAGAGTTCATATGAAAATAAAATGGTAGCAATTAAAACAAATCAGTCCTCACCATTTTCTATGAAGCATGGCAAATTGTGCAGCAGCATCAAACGTCCATGCAAATGACTGGGGTTCTCTTGAACAGGAAATAGAAGGGGCACCCTTAGTTCAAAGCATTCATTTCCTACTTTGAATGCATACACAAATTCTCTTTCTTTGTTGCAGAACCTTTCTCGACTTTTCTTCATATTTCTTGGTAGGATTTCTACAGAACAAAACAAAGCATTAAGTTATAAATCCATAAGAAAGAGGATGTCTAGGGCTGTGGAGATAGATCAGCAGTCTAAACGCCTGCCTAGCCAAGGGCAAGAACTTGGGTCTGATCCCCAGTACAATATATTGTGCTGGCCCCTGCCCAGGGTGTGCCAACCCAGGCACCAAGACCCGGTGTGGTGGCACATGCCTGTAATCCCAGAGCTGGGGAGGCTGCAACAGGAGGATCACTACAAGTTCAAGCTACATAATGAGACCCTGTACTAAATACCCTGTGCCAAGAAAAAAAGAAAGAAAGAAATAAGATGTCTAATCATTCCTGTATCATTTTTAAAAATCATTCCATCACTCAGATTTCATTTGTGTGACTCTAAGTAACTTTTTGTAGTCTTTTCTAGTGTTACTCCAGCTTCCATCTTCATGATGTAAACAAAGTGTTGATTCTTCTTTTCAATGAAAAGTTTTTTTTTAGACTTCATTGAAGGGAAAGAACTGAGATCATAGAGGACTTTCTATTCCTAGGAAGGGTTATGAATACCAGGAAAGGAATAAAAAGAGAAAGACAAAAGGATTTTTAGGAAAGCCATATGTGGATAGATATAGAGCTTATGAAACAGTTAGTGAACTATATTTCAAAAATCAAAGAAATATAGCAGGAACCAAGTGGTGATCTTGGAGATCTGAGAGGCTGGGGTCATAAGATCTAATAGGAGGAACTTAAAGTGTTAGAAGACCTCCTACGTGGGAATAAGGTATACAGAACATAGAAAGGGTAGGACATCCATTGCAGGGAAAAATGGACATTTCAAAAAGAATCAAAATCAAGTAAAGATTTATTCATCAGTCTCTTAACTGGACTCCCTGTTGATAGGCTTTCCCTCAGGAAATCAGTTCTTATACCATTCTGGACAATAAGTCACAATCTTCTTTCTTCTGAAAAGAAATACACTTATCTGATCATATTGCTCATCTCTTTAAACCCTTTCTGTATTAGCGATTGCTCTCAATAAAATGCAAATCCCTTACCTCAGTTTACATCCCCAGAATCTTCTGCAGGTGCATCTGCATTCCTCCTTATCAGCACACATATAGATTACTTTTAATTTCTAATCATACTGGACATGTGTCAATACCAAACTTCTCTTTTCACTTTTAAGCTTCAGTGACTTTTCCTTTCCCCACAGCACTGTTGCTGCTCTTCATTATTTTTGGACAGCAGCTTCTTGTTCTTTCAGTCTCACTGTAGACAACACCCCTTTAGAAAGCCTGCTCCAGCTTTCTACTGGGACCCATCACAAGTTCTCATTGCCTGTACTTATCTGAACCAAGACGACTAACACGCTCTATTTTTCCTCCCATTAGAAAAGTTCACTTGAAATACGAAGAATTCTGAACTATTCTATTCTGTATGCCCGGCAGGATGCTAGGGATAGAAAGGCGAGAGCTAACAAACAGCTCCATCATTCAAGTAGCTGACACTTATTGCCGAACTGTCCTTTGGAGATAGGACAATCAAAACATAAATCCTAAGAAAGTGACAAAAGTGATCAATAAATGGAAGCCAGCAATAACAAAATAAGCCATCTAAACACGCCAGTATAAAAATTACAGGCTACCCAGTTTACACAGTAAAATCAGTAGTAAAGACGCATCGTAGCGGAGGACTAACCGTTGCAGAAATATGAGTTTTCAATGGTCTAACGTAGTTTGGATTAATCACTTTCAGTAAACCCAATCCTATCAGCACTCCGTCCCGTGGTGTGTCGACAAGCACTCGCTTTTCTGGGTAACGGTCTATCCCGAAGCCTTGTCGGAGCTTTAGCAGCTGTGAAAATCAGAGGTTTCTAACAAGGGACGGCAGGAGGACAGGACCGAGTTCCTACAGCCAAGTGGGCAGAGACGTGAGGCTGACAGCAGCCAAGGAGGCCAAGGCCGACTGCGGGCCGAGAGCCCGCCGCGTGGAGTACCGCCTTCACTCGAAGGTTTCGGCCCGCGGGGTCTTTGCTCCTGGGGTGGGCCTACCTTGTTAATTAAGAAGCGCTCGGAGCCCTCGGAGCTGTCACAGACTCGGGCGCCGCGAGACATCACGGGACTTGCGGACTTGTTTTTCAACCAGCAGTTCCTCCACAACAGATTCGCTCACGTCTTTTAGTCTTTTTGCGCACCGTGTAGAAATCGCCTCACTCAAAATGCCTGTTTGTTCCAGTCTATCAGAGTTTAATCATTTTAGTTCAATAAGATGTACGTCTACCCTTATTGCTTGTTTCAGAGTCGGCACGAACTCTGCTGCTATGACGAAAGTGCAGCAGGAAGACACAAACTGAGTTCTGCATAAACTGGGGTCTGGGCCACCGGAAACGGAAAAGCGTGCTGTGCCAGGGGCGTGGTCAAGCGCTCTCTTCTTAGAGCGCATGCGCCGGCGCAGGCTGCTGGGCAGCGATTGGAGGACGGGCGGCACTGGGGCGGGGCGCACCTTGTCTGTTTTTAGGCGGGAATTGGAAACCCCACCGGTGCGGACAAGACCCTGACAGGCGCAAGTTCACACTCTTGAAGGGGACCATGGTGCGGCCTGCAAGGTGACTCATTTATGAAGTCCCCCAGGTGGTGGCGGAAGGCGGCGGGGCCGGAGGGCGGTTATCGGGGCGTCTGCGGGGCGGAGGCCTGTGGCCCCGAGGCGCCCGCGCCTTCTAGCGCGTTGCTCCCTTTGCGTCTTTGCGCAGCTGTCTCCGCTTTTCCCCACCTTCTTCAAGTAAGACCTTGCTGTGTTAGCGTTTGAGCGCCCCTTGGCATTTCCTTGAGTGTCTATTTAACATGCTCATCTGTCTTCCAGCTTAGAAAGGGTAGCTAGAGCTACTTTATCCACGTAGAGCTCCTAGGTATAAAGGCCAGCTTACTTGTGCCACACACATGTAATAAGCCGTCCGATTCCAGAGCCTGTGCTTTCGACTGTGCCGTTGGAAGCGATTCCTCGACTTAATCGCTGTTGAGTGCGTTGGAACCCTAGGGCGACCCAAGAGTAAGGCTGTTGAACATGCTTGCTTCTGTACGGTACTGGGTGCTGTGTTCTAGGAGAAGGTAAGTCTAGGAGGGCTGCAAATGAGCGTCCCAGTGCCAGCGAACCAAGAGCCTGAGCCTGACCGTGTTCGAGGGACAGGCTGAAGCAGTGGAGCTAGCAGGCGGTGGAGAGAGTTGTAGGGGAGCAGGTCGGATAAATGGACAGATACTGGGACGGCCTTAGAAATGGGTTTGGATTTTATTGAGTCCAGTGGGAAGTCAGTGGAGAGTTTTAAATAGGGGAGAGAAGTCTAGTTTTTGTAAAATTCACTGGCTGCTTGTGGAGATCCAAAGGGAAATGGGAGGGCTAGAGTAGAAAAGG